AAAGCAATGTTCTCTCGAGAACTTGCATGCAGGCAGATCTCAGGAAAAATGAAAAGCAGAGGCTCCAATGCTGTCTGGAAGTTCTTCATGTTTACTTTTCCTTCCTTTAATGCAAGGACATCTTCCCTTCTCACTGTGCCTAAGCTTACAGGGTAGAACCGAGCCACCGGTGGCTCACAAAGCTACACCCACCCAACCCAGTCCAAGAGATTAAGAAACTAATTGGTCCACGTTCTAAGTTCCAGGGAAGAACTGAAATTGTCCCAGCTCACGTCCTGTGCCTACTTTGGACCAGTCAATTATCTGCTCAAGGAGGAGGATTGTATTCCACTTGCATGGATGTCCCTGTGGTAAGCAAGTAGATGGGGAGGTGAATATTTTATAGAAGAAAGGGGAAAGAGACTTGCACCACAGCAGAAATAATTGGTGTCCACTATGAGAATTCATAAAAAAGTTACCACACCAAGGCCTGGCGTGGTGGCTCACACCTGTCATCCCAGCACTTTGGGAGGCCGAGGTGGGTAGATCATGAGGTCAGGAGATCGAGACCAGCCTGGCTATGATGAAGCCCCGTCTCTACTAAAAATACAGAAAAATTAGCCAGGCATGGTAGTAGGCACCTGTAGTCCCAGCTACTCAGGAGACTGAGGCACAAGAATGGCGTGAACCTGGGAGGCGGAGCTTTCAGTGAGACAAGATTGTGCCACTGCACTCCAGCCTGGGTGACAGAGTGAGATTCTGTTTCAAAAAAAAAGAAAGTTACCACACCACTATACCCAGACCAGAATAAATACATTTATGCATGTGTTTTTCTTCTCAATATATACATTTCTACACATTTAAACAGTCTACACGTTTTTAAGAAGACAAAACAAAAATAGTATGTGTCTATTACAGTGAATATAGCTAACCTACTGTTAAGATTCAAAAGAGGGCCGGGCGCGGTGGCTCAAGCCTGTAATCCCAGCACTTTGGGAGGCCGAGATGGGCGGATCACGAGGTCAGGAGATCGAGACCATCCTGGCATAACACAGGTGAACCCTGTCTCTAACTAAAAAAAAAAGTAAAAAACTAAGCCGGCGAACTGGCGGAGCGCCTGTTAATCACCAGCTACGTCGAGGGAGGCTCGAGGCAGGAGAATGGCGTAAACGCGGAGGCGGAAGCTTGCAGTGAGCTGAGATCGGCACTGCACTCCAGCACTGGCGACAGAGACCAGCTACACGTCTC